ATATATAACGATCGTTCTGTTCTTAATTTGTAAGCAAACTACACACAAAGCCATTTACAACCCTATATATTGCATGAAACTATCCATGATTGTCATTCTATATAAAATTTCATATTGACATTTCAATCAAACGCCGCAAGACGACTGCGACGTTTCTCTCGGCCTCCTAATATAATTGATAAATATTTAATTTGTACCATCCATCGATCAGTCCATCCAATCATCTATCTATTTTTACTCAATGGTTACCAAAAAAATCATTCAGTCGGAATCCGACGGAATCAATCGGTTTCCAAACTTCGGTAAATACCAAAAAAGCAAAGCTTGTTCAAAACTTACTAAAGAGTAAATTCGTTTGGTTACTATAAGAGTAAATTCATACGTACCAGTTAACGAAATATATTCATATTTCATACAACATTATACACACAATCAAAACTTAAAAGCACGCATAAGCAGATGGTCAAGTGAACTGAATGAAGAGATATAATGTATTATTCAAGTGATTATTGCTTCTTCGCTGTGCCGAGCCGAATGGATTGGAAAGGATAAAGGTTAAAGGACAAAGGGCACCACAGATAGGAGAATGGACACGGAATAGGGGACAAGGACAGGGTGAGGCCTGCTAGGGTAGAGGGCATGAAAGGTCGATAATGCGAACAGATTACATGCATGTATGCAAATAAAGCAACGTAAATCTCTGACGATAGTATCAAGAAAATACGTACGTGAAGTACAATTCGATATCTAATATAATGTGATAGGCATTACAATATTATACCTACAAGCATCGAAAAAAAGTGAATTAAACACCGAAAGTGGAAGTATAATGCTATCGGCCAGTTGCAATAAACCTCAATGTTGAGTCTCAAGTCTATGCAGAGGTGCGTCCGTGTGATCAAAGTTGTCAGTTCGAACGAGTAAAAGCGTCATTTTCGCACAACTAAAAGCGCTTTGTTTGAATAAGATGAATAAGGTGCAATATCGGCTTTCGACAACCTCAAATAAGCTTTCGGAATAAATCTGATGAGAGGAAACGGACAAACAGATACCATAAAATAGCGAACTCATGGACAGATGCACAGCTGCAAGTGGGGGATTAGCTGGCCAGTGAGAAGGATGAATGTATAAACATAGTTCGGCAAAAACACAAACAACTATTATATCATATAATTATTCGCGCATTTTCACGACTCGAACGATACAACTTCTAATAAATTGCAGCTGAAGTTGAGGTTGAAACCCGTTCAAAATTTCAGCTATCTAGCCATCTATCGATCAATCAACCAAAAACAAGCCAACAGCCTTATCAGTCAAGTAATCAACCAATGAAGCAATAAATCAATCAACAACTTAATAAATTAATACGAAACAGATTGCATTAAACACAACCCGGTTCTTCTTCTCATCTCCCATTTCATTTCACCGATAATACATAAATATGAAATACATACCTAAATATCTGCCACACACCTATTTACACATAATAATAATCATACTAATGGAAGAAATCAAATAAAAATCTGTCAAATCAAATCAAACATATGGATAAAGATGAATGGATGATGGCATCAGCACCAACAACAATACCAATAATAATCAACCACATAGATCGACCAACCAACGACCATATGGATGTGATATTTACTTTTACTTATATTTATCATCTTTACTTCGTCCAACTGTCTATACATTTATCCACGTCCATACCCATATTCATATACACATTTACTTGAAATAAATGGAATACATAATAATACTAAGTACATAATAAATAAAACTACTTTCACCACCACCATCGTTAATCGCACCCATCACAATACCACTCAAGTAAACAACGTGAAAGTAAAATGAATTATTGATATTGCGTACAAACAATCAAACGCATTATCATTATAATATTATATTTACCACATTTAATTGATCTTCTATTCAGCTATCATCATTAAATGGCATATAATAGTCATTCATTCCAACCTTTTGCGATGAGTGTTATTCATTTTATACTCTCTCATACATCTATCACCTCACAAATCAGTTCAAGTTTGCGTTTCATAGAGTGTGTGCAATCAACATATTTATTGCTTTAATGTACTATTACTTCTACTTTCATGACTACTTTTAGTATTACCGTTATTAGCCATCACTCTTATTATTATTCGCCAGCACTTTAAAAAGACAGCTGAAAAAGACTTTCTTCGGGAAAACAATGAAAGAACACAATGGAACAATCGTGTTGACACAAAATTTCACTCATACATAAAACGCATCATATTTATCCGTTGGTTGGTAGCTATTCACTTGTACAGATTTTAGCACATATGTACTAGTAGTTGTAATATATGGATAAAGAATAAATGTTTAGATGTCAGCTCAGTTATCGCATAATTGTATTTGAATTTCATATTTCTTTTCAAGATAAACCATCACCAACACGGGCATGCACTGTACGAGATTTCCTCGTGGAATCGAATGAAAACGCTCCGAAACAAGAGATGAGAAAAATGAGAACGAATATAGAACAGTTTAGAAAATTCAAAAAAATTATTTGAAAAACATCTTTCCGATGAAAATTTTCAAATTTTGGTGAATAAGCAGTAGCAAGTAATTATTTTGTGTGTAAACATGATAAGTATGAATGAATGAGAGCAAATGAAGAAAATCGCTCGCAAAATTGCATAACACCTCGCTGACGTTCAAAATGAATTGCTAATGATTATAATGATAACACTAATAGTGGACACAACAACAATAATAGGAATAATAATAATAATAATGATAATGATAATAATAATAATAATAATAATAATAATAATAATAAATTACTAACTTCGATCTCCTGCGAGAAAGTTGTTGATAGTAGCAACTTGACGAGTTTGTCTTTCATCCACCCCCGCCGAAACCAACTCAACTGCACTCGCAGCGAACAAACCACATCTTGAATGTGCTTTCGCACCAAATATAATTCCTTTCCAACGTGTCTTTGATGTTTCTCGATCAACCACCTAAATATCAAAAAGCAAATTCGAAAAACACGACCATTCATCGCAATTGTCAATGATTTATTTCGTTGTCTTATCAATCAACACACACAAAACACAATGTAAACTAGATAATGCAATAAAACACCACTGTAATAAGTATTTAATAATTTTTCTTACCCATATATTGTCACCAACTGAAAATGTCAACTCGTCTGTTGCAATTCCGTTGAAGTCGTATACAGCTCGTGCGTGTACAAAATTTCTATATTCTGAAAGTATCGAGATTCATTCAAAATTACTATGCACATCAATGAATCCATAAATCTTTCTCGTGTTTGATAATTTAGTGACGATTTGCTTGTAGGATATTTCATGTAGGTAGGCATTATTTTGCACACTCATATTATGAATCTAAATCGTACTCAGCCGGGTGTCAAATGACAATATTTTGAGTGCAAAATATCTGTGTGACTGTTACCATTTATTGCATTCAATAAAACAATGCATCAAGCAGACATTTCATGACTATTATCGATAGCATTATTGACACAAATGTACATACCATTAACATCGTCTATCAGATCTTATATTACCATCTACCATTAATCAGTGAAATAACTGCTGGTAGCAACAGCATTTTCGAGCTGACGATACAACAGTAAAAAACATTAATGAATGGATAAGTGCTCAATGAGAAGACAAAATCGACCCCTGTCCTCGGGCCATCAAAGGGAGTACGAAACGCATGTCTCTAAAACATCTATCTACACATGTCTGTAAGGGTCCCTTGAAAATCGTCGAAAAGTGTTGGATATTGCTAACTGGAAAAGAGCCCGGAGCTCGAATGTTCGTAAGGCTGAGTATTGACGTGGATGTTAGCTTAAGATTAAGTTAGAGCTTAGCTTGATGCACTTTTCACGTACCCCATTGATGATAACTTCAAAATTGGAGTTGTTATAAAGTTGAACGGAAATTTCGTCAACATCACTGTGTGAAATGGAACAATGGGGATAGGATATCAATGAACGAAGAATATGGTATTTTTGGTATAGTGTTGTTGGTAATTCAAGGCTATTCGTTCATACAAACAATTGTAATTGCTAATCAAATAAATGAATTTTAAAAAGGAAATAAATAAACAAACAAATGAATGAAGAAATCACCAACAAATTCATTGCATCAGTTAAGCAGAAAAAAAACGGTTCAAAGCTCCAAACTCTGAAGTAGTTTGAGCTCTGGAAAAAGAAAGTTATGAAAAATGATGATGAATTGCAGAACAAAAAAAAAATTAAAACAGTATTATACTACCGCATCAGAAAGTGTCACCGCAATAAAGAAGATTTCCATAAAATAGTCATCAATTCAAAAGAATTCCACTTGTGATGCATCAGAAACGAAATCAAATTCAAGTTAATCAACTCAACTTAACTCAATTCAACAAAAATCAAATCAACTCTTATACAATAATAAAATTATTATAGATCCAAGCATCTACCCGTCTAACAATAGATACCGTCCATTCATTTTTTTCACTAATTCATCATCAATTTATTTCACCAAATGTCTCTGTTTTTTGTTTTCAAAAAGAAATTTTTATTTTTAATGGGTTCTTTAGTTTATAAGAAGACTTTGTTAATATTTTCTTAACAGATCCATTTAACTCTCTGAATGCACTAATGATCGCACTAAATCACGTCAAGTGATCACCATCACCTTTACAGTCACGTCCCTTGTCTTACTCTCACAATCACCTCAACAATACACTACTGCCATGAAATTTGTCTATCAAACGTTCATTTCATTTTGTTCTAATTTCAATCAAGAACAGCTGAAGAAATAATCGGCAACATTTGAAGAAATTTACACCTGAACAGAGACTACCTATAAACTAGATGCATATATATATATATATATTCATTTATTTATCTAACTAAATAAATAATTAAAATAATCCTTTTGAATAAATAAAATAAATAAAATAATCTTTTGAAATAAATCGAATAAAACAAATCAATAAATTAAGTAAATAAATATCACTTTACTTCTAAACAGCTTATGTGAACATATCACTGTTTATTGCTTACAATTGTTTATCTCTAGTGTAGATTTCTGCAATAAATACTTTTTACAAACGATAGAATAAAATGAATTAAATAGAGCAATGAATGGAAATCAACTGCAATGATACAAACATATAGTTAACTAATAACAAAAACAAATACCAAACATTGTTTTATGAAAGAAAACGCTATCATCCCATTACTGTTACTGTTAGAATTACTACTCTTCAACTGTAAGTTTTCTTTTCTGCTTAATTACCACTGTTACGAACACAAAAACAAACAACGCATTCTTTTGCGACCAAATACGATTATTGTGATAGAGAATCGTAGCAGCGAGGGAGATGGACAAGATAGAACAAGTTATACGAACGGGCTAGGAGAGTGCTCTTTATCTACATACCTATCATTTTTGCCGCATCTCAACTTTACATAAACAAGGCTTTCTTATTTGGAAATAATGCTTCTCCGAAAATGATGCAGTATTCATTCACATTAATCCATTAATGCACGCAATAATTTGCGCGTCATCACAACTTCCACTCCTTTTCATCCTTAAACTGTTCGAGGAAAATAAACGAAACAATCATGCAAAACATTGCTATATTATGTAACTGATAAATATTCATCAAGCATAATCATAACTATAATTCGAAAGTGCGATTGACTAAAGATCTGCTGTTTACATTTAAGAAAAGCCTGCCTTTCTTACTGAGACAGACGTTTATGCTCTCTCAACACATTAGCGTCTAATGGGCACTAATGCGTTGAGAGAGCATAAACGGTTCGCCTTTGCACGTATAATGAAAAAAACTTTTTGCATCAAAACGAAACGCACCTTTCAATAACTTGCAAAACGGATTCGATGTAAAGCTAAATCTCAAGAACGCGAACCAGTACGTATGATTCGGACAGTTTTCAAATACAGTCAGCAAACAAAAACATGATAAGGGAAGATATCCATGAGGGTATTGAACGCCTGAATATAAGCTACGAACTGATAATCAAATTAGCAAAAATGAATTGCTCTCAGTGTTGAAGAGTAAACAAAATAGCTTCTTGCATCAGTGTTGATTCGTCATATGCACGAAGCATATGCACAACCAACACTTGAACACTAATCACTTCCTGGTTTAACCATCATCCACCTTAACCCAATGCAACTCATCAGTGACAATTCAAACAGAAAAATCACCAAGCGATTCATCACTATCAACCACATTCAATCTTTTCTTTAAAACAAAACAAAACGGCACAATGCAGAAAAGAACAGAAGTGAGAAAAAAATGAAACAGGCGGATAAAACTGTTAAAAGGTCAAAAGGCCAACAAGCAGGAGTAGCAGGTAAGGTCAAATGAGAATTTAATGACGGCGATAGGATGAGTGAATGATAGGACGGATGAATGGACGAACGGCTATGTTTAATCTTAACCTATCATCAAATCATATCAAATATCACATATTACAAATCAAATCACTAATCACCCATCAAAAACTCAATCAACGAAAAACACCCAACACAATTGCAACACATCTCTACTAACACAACTACTTCCCATCAATTAATCAATCCGTAACAATGAACAATAGAATCATAGAAGTAAATATTGAAACGCTATACACACCAACCTACTTCCTATAATTCAACAGCTATCCTAGCCATAGTATGTTGAGGGAAATGGACGACTGCAGAATCGCGCTATTTCAGAAATTCTCATCTTCTCTCGACGTACTCCATTTTTTTTCTTCACAGTCATGGGATTTTATGGGATTGTCCCCTACCGGAAAGTTTGTCTCCAGTCGTCTTTTTCGATCTGTCATTCCTCACATTAATTTTGCACAACTCCACATTAATTCTCTGCATTTTTCGCACTATACTCGAGTTTTCATACAGTACAATCCTTGAGCAGAGAGTTTAACTTACGAATGCGGTAAAACATTACTCTATATTAGAAAATAACATACCTCCTATATACGTATATAATTACAATCATATTCACGACATCAATCATTAAGTTTGTCACTGAACCGATTACTTCCGTACTTACTGATTCATTGACTATTGACACATTAATGAGTTCCTGCTGCTGCCACTTTCTACTTCTTTTCTTCTATTATATCAAATCCTTTTCTCCTCTAAATCTTCCTCAGTACTACTAAGCAAACGATAGCAAAAAGTTGTAGTAGCTGGTACTGTATATCTGTATTTTCATTAAAGACATGACATAAGTTTTGTGACCAAATTCTGGTTGACCTCAAACGTTATTCCGTGATTACTTCACCTAATATTTGTTTTTCCGTAAGATTACTTTTCATTTTAACTAACGCGTACTACTTGTTTCTCAAATTTCTGACTCATCAAAAGGAAGTGATAATTTCTACAGTATAACAACAAAAATTTCAAAATGATGTGTGCCGTAATCAATGCTTTTTCGCGAGGATTTCGGTTCTTAGTTTCATATTAATGACTAAGATGGATTACTGTGGATAAGGCTATTCGATATTATGTTGCTGTTAATGCTGGACAAGGGTTTTACTGTAAAACAATGAATTTTTTCTGTTGAGTTATAAGTGTTATAATTGGTCATGTTCCACTTCGCAAACACGTTAATCATGTTTAGTTGTTGGCATGTTTCTGATGTTTTATCCGGTATTTGCTCGTTTACTGTTATTGCCATTAACATTGTTCAGTGTTTCAAACGAAAATCGAAGAGGATAAGCAATGCGCATCATCAAGACTGAATTTAAAACAGTTACCTCTCAATAGAAAACGTATTTCTTTGGATGTAATCGGGCTTCTTGTCAATGCTTTTCGACTCACGTCCGCAGCCGTTTGATCGTATGCATTCAGTGCGTTCGCGTCTATGCCAGCCTCAAATAAAACAATAAATCCATTTTAACAATCAAATCTATTTGATCCTTTTGTCGCAACTGAGCCCTCTTCAATTTCTCTTTATTTTTACTATTTTTTTATTTCTTTCAACAGTGATATCGAAATTCGTCAAAGATTTTGGAGCGACGCGTTCTGAATCGAACTCACGCCCTCTGAACAGATCCGATCCTCAAAGCCCAGCGTTATACCAGTACACTATCGCCCATTGCTCAAGTATTTTAATTATATTTAAGTCCTATCTCTTCCCAATTCAATCATTATTTTTATGCCAGCTTTTCGCGCTAGCTGCGACACCTTTTGCCAGTCTCACTGACTGATACCATTTCACTATTGCTTGTTTTTGAGCAGTGCACCTCTCCACCATTACTTTTTTGCTCTCAAGACTCCTCGTGGGAGCAATGTCCAATTCATCAATACATTATAAACAGATAAATGAACAAATGTTAACTAAACATCAATAATGAATAAACATACATATAATAAAAATCGCACAACTTCCACATGTCCTTGAGTCACTGCTTCGTGTAACGCAGATCCTTGCGAAGTTAACTGATTTATTGGCCAACCTCTTTCGATGAGTCGATAGCAAATCTGATGAATTGCTTATCAACACATATCAAAAATAATCATAACCTTATTATTGTCATTATTATTAGTTATTATTATTATTATTATTATTATTATTATTATTATTACTATCATTATTATTGTTACATTATTATCACATTATTACTAATTCTTATTATTACTTATTACTATTGTTATTAGTTGTTATTATTTATTATTACTGTTATTATTATTATTATTTTATTATTATAATAAATAACTATAATAACCCACTTCGACATGACCATTTCTGGCTGCTAAGTGCAGTGCACTCGCACGTCGACGATGAGAACAATTAAGGCTTGTTTCTTCAAAGGAACGTATCGGAATGCCACTTTCCAGCATTCTATCAACCAACTGAAAGCACTTCATACTAATAGTGGTGATATGAACAATAGTAACGGCAATAAGAATACGCAATGATAACACAATTAAATCCTCCGTAATAGCATCTACCCAGATACGCACCTTTCCTCTACCATATTCACAAGCTAAATCGAACGGCGTTCGCCCGTACTTGTCCACAGCGCATAGATCCGCCTTATAGTAAGTCAGTAAATTCACCTGAAATTTTGATATTTATATAACACTGCAACCAACCACTTAAGCATCTTCAACACAACTATTATACTTAATTCTCATAGAAGATCCTGAAACAAACTAACACTGCAAGTTAATTAACACAATGAAGCATTGAATTATTTACGTTATGTCATACTAAACTTTATGTCGCCTTCGAACGAAACTGAATATGTATTGTATTACAAAACAAGTAATGATGTCAACTTTATCAAATAAACGATTAAGATCACTAATTGTGCGCTATGAAAAAGCTACTTCTTCTCTGAAAAGAAGATGAAAACGTGGAAATGAACAAGAAAATAATGAATAAATAAGTGAATAAAGAAAGCATACCGCATCAATCATGCCTTCTTTGCATGCAAAATGTGCCGCAGAGCATCCGCAATAATCGAGTGCGTCCACATTAGCACGATTCGTTAGCAGCAATGAGGTTAGCTCGGTATTGTTTTGTTGAACTGCATAATGAAGCGCTGTACGACCTTAAGTTTCACTTACGATTAGGAAGTTACAATCGAATGTTATTTATTATCCATTCAATGAATAAATTTAACGAGAAATGAAGAAACGATACGAAATGCAATCAAGTAAGTACGTTGAACTAACAATTATTCACTGCAATAACTGAAAATAGTGTAACTCATTCCAGATGGATTATTTATATCCAACTAGATACGATGCATATACATATGCGAACGACTACATACGCGTTTCGGAAACATCAAAAACATTTATTCAAAATTAGAAAAACATTTACGTATGGATGGATGAATGAATCGATAACAAGAATTAAAACTGAGTGGTAGTAAATAAAGCTGAACCTACGATGAGAAATCGTAAATTCATGAAAATTTCATCATTTTTAGCCAGAAACCGCGAAATAGTAACTGACCACATAATCAATCAGTTACAACAAAAATGACAACAGCGATGATAACTGATAAATCCACTACATACCTTTACTATCTTCTTCATCGACCCATACCATACGACATTCTAGTAATGTTCTCGTCATAATCGTATTGCCCATTTGTACTGCGTGGTGCAACGCTGTACCACTATAAACAATTTTATTCGTGCATTTCTGAGCGAAAAACAGTGAGTTTGATAGCAATAACACCTTATCAAATTCAAGTTTCGATGATGAATTCAAATTACATTCCAGAAGGAGCCCCAACAAAATACATATTGAGAATGAGAATTCATCAGAACTCAAAATGTAGAACTCAAATCATTCTCCTACGACTTTGTTCATCGAGTTCACTCAAGCACACAAGCATTGAACTGCAGTCTTTCGAGTCTCGAGGGTATCCGAGAATGCACAAGATTTTTTAAGCATCTTAACCTTATTTGGCTTCTCATCCAAACTCGTTAAGCATCTTTGTCATGTGAAATCATGAATGAGTTTGCTATTCAAAAACAAGAAAACAAACAAACAAATAACAATAATAACAATCAGATAAAACAACGAATCTAGATGATTTTGAAGAAATTGAATATTTTTCAAAAGTTTTGTTCCCTTCTAAAGAAACAATTTTTTGATAAGTAAAGAAGCGAATCTAAGTCTAGTTGATGTACACACACACACACACGGACATGCATATAAAACCAACGACGAACCTCTCGCTTCCATCACGTCCACGATTTTTTCGCTGTATATTCAGCAGATCTGAAATTGAATTGGTACTTTTTTTAAAAACACTTCAACATTTACAACAACACTCGTGGCGATAACAATAATGATATTGACAACAATAATAATAATAATAACGATATCAAGATTAATTCTGAAATGATATTGATAATAGTAACAACAACACCAACAAAACAATCTAAAACAACTATTTCTAATTTTACAAATACTTTGCTATTAAAAATTTTGCTCAATTATTATTGAGACACTGCTTCACAAGATGAAAAATCTATTTGTTCAAAAGAACAGTGAGGAGGACAAATTGCTCAAAAAATTCAAAAAAAAAAACCATTAAAAATCCTCAATTTGCTTTTTCTCATTCCCAGGACTAAGACGGATCGAATTTATATGAGAAAAAGCACACAAAAAAGACAGAGCACCTAGAAAGATATAACAGACAGACGACAGATGCGCAAAAAATGAACGCATTAACAGATGGATATCTAGTAGAAAGATGTATCTTTGTGGATAAATGAGAGGATGTAAAGACTACTCACTTACAACGGAAATTATGTTCATCCAATCTAAGCTTCAGCTACCACGTCCAACGTCAACAGCACCAGGAGTATTAGCTGTGCTGCTGCTTAAGATATTATCATATGCCTTATCATAACATACTGCATACATAATACTTATATCAAGCCATTCATCCATGCATACAGACAGTCTATAAACACATGAATATTTGTGTTATCTATGATGAATTCTTGAAATAAGTACGTAATCAATTGATGATAATGATATCTGCAATGGCAATAAGAATATGTTGCTAATTTATTATACTAATGCTAGAATAAGTAAGCATATGAATAAAGCAAAAACACAAACACACATACACATGACATCTGGAAGAAAACGATTAAAAGTTGAAAGCATCAGAATGATGCTATAGAATAGCGAGTAAGAGACAATTTAAGTACCAGCATATTTCAGGCTGCTTAAACGTATCAACTGATGCAAATATGCATATCGTGAACAATCAATGGAATTATTGTTTGTGGAAGAAGAAGCAAGTTTCGTCGATAAACGCATTAAAGGGCATCATACATCAGCGACGATGATGAGCAATGAACGCAAAAACGTGAATAAAGAGTGAAGGAAGGAAGCATCAAGATGGATACTATAGCTACATGCATAGATAAAGGTTTCAATGGATCTAGGTATAATACACAAGTGCACATCTATTATATATCCTCGCCAATATAGACTCATAAGTGCACATCTATTATGGATACAATAGGTACACAAGTGCATATATAAATCTCTGGATGAACTGATCGAAAAGGGTGGATAACTCAGAATTTCCAGCTGGCTCCAACTCAACATTTCGTTTGGTGTCCCGAGCAAATACTTAAGTTTAAGCTATGCGCTTGTCCTTAGCTTCTTTATGTGAACATCTAAGATTTATTCGTTCAACAATATTCTCAATTGTGGTGGCCCAAGTATTGATAATTTTGCAAGGGGAACGATTTTGTATAAAATGAAGAATCATGCACAGATAAGCAACATTATCAAACAATATGGATAATGTAAATGAAGGAGAGAATTGAAAATGAAAATAAATAAAAACATCAAACTGTTAACCTGAAATGCTCGCCGAGAAACGTCGAAGTAGTCCTCTATTAGTTGGAGTGTACGATGTGCACATATTATTATTCATATCGACTGACAGCAATGATAAATTATCAATCTTATGCAAGATGATTGCTCCCGGATTCGATATTAACAAGGATGATGATAATAATGATGACGTTATGTACACCGAATAAAGAGCAGTCTGATTTGATTGAACTGAATCAATCTGTGATCACTTTGAGATTAAGTAAATGATCAATAATAGAATCGCAGTTATCCTTATTTACTAATTATTGATATCATTAATAATAATAATAACAATGATGTGAAATAAAATCATTATGATTATTATTGCTATATCACAGTCATTAAACTGCAAATACTCTTCTTTTTTATTATGCGTCTCTTAGTTCTTGATCCGCCACTCCTAACAATTTATGTAAGAAATGCTATCGTTTGCAATGTACAAAATAAAATGTTGTTCTCAGATGTGTGTATACATTAATTGTTAAATGCCACACACACAGTGTTGTGTTACCAATCTGCAAGATGTCAACATTAGAATAACATCACAACGATGATAACGGTAATAATAACGGTAACAATAGTAATAACAATAATAATAGCAACAACAATAGTAATAACAATAATGAAAACAACAACAATAATAAGTAATGACAAACAGACAGTAGTATAAATACGAAAACTAATTCAATTAATTATTCCCTTGCGGAATAAAATCAGAAACAATAAAGTAAATGCATAATAACATCGTATTCAGTGAATGAAGTGAGCATTCCAATAATGCAACGCATAACTGTAAAATAAGACTGTTTGTTCTATTCTCAACTTAACATCGATGCTTGCCTTCAAAGCGATGTCCATAATGTGTACATTTTAAGCTGAATTATAAGAGAAGGGAATTCTCAGTTATGAATGTGCACAAGATTCAGACAGATTATGATATTTTTACGACTGACAAAGAAAATGACAACATCCTTCATAAGGTTCAAGAGTTCTGGTAAATCGAACATGGCCAACTAAATGTTAATACACCACACTTATTAGGAATAACATCTATCTACCTACCTTTTCTCAATAATAATACCAATAAAAATCTTCAATAATGATAGCAATGATCTATATTAGGAAACTTGTTATGACCTAATCTTAGGGATCGAATTGCAGTTGAACAAAGAGATGGCTGGATGGATGTCTGCTTGAACGGATAGATGGATGATGAACGTTGCAGTTTTGCTTGACTGGACTGGTTATTAAAATAAGCCATAAAAGTCGTATTATTCATATAGCAAACAATCTAACCATTTATCATTTCTAACACCACCAAACGCATAGATAGAAACGCATATCATTATAGTAATGATGATCCATTCTCAAACTTAATTTATTTGCTGTTCATATATACTCGAACATGCACACTTGAACAAACAACATCTTCAACAAAAATATATTTGAGTATATTATATAACGATACATCTAACAATAAGTGCTGAACTGCATTTTCATAACTTGCTCATTGCAAGCATAACAGCAATGATAAGCACTGCAACAATAATAATAAACGTTATAACAACAATCATGATGCTAATAATGATAGCCATAACAGTATTAACGATAATAATATCACTTCAACTTCATACTTTTCAATACCCATGCCGAACACCTCATCAAAGCACAACAACTGCTGCTACAATCAGCTCATGAGCACACCAACTAGTTTTCTGAATGTGCAAATTAAATAATGTATAAATAAAATTCATTTTACAAATGAAATTAACTAAATTTCTTTTTTGTTGCACTAACTCATTGAATCGTATTAACTAAATCTTATAGTACAATTAAAACTATAGTGATAATTATAATAACCGTAATAATAAATAATAATAGTAATAACAATAATAAAAATAAATAAATAAATAATAATAATGATGATAATAATAATAATAAATAATAAAAAGAACATACTAAACACAATATCTAAACAAATTAAATTCCCTTTGCATCTGTACAATCGAACCCACTCCTGATAATGACTGATCACATAAAAAAGCTCATATGAAATTATGATATCATTTTCAGCATTTAATTCTCTTATCTTCCTTCTCTAATGTTCTTATTATTATTATTATTATTATTATTATTATTATTATTATTATTATTATTAGTATTATTATTATTGGTATTATTATTATTATTATTATTATTATCAATGCTATTATTATTGGCATTATTATTATTATCATTGTTATTATTATGATTATTTCACTATATGGCTGCATATTTTATGAATGAAAAAAAATTTCATAAATAATAAATATTCGTACATTTAAATAATCAACAATATTAAAAATAACGATAATGATAACACTAAAAATTGATAATAATTATATTCACTATACACAATAAATATTCACTTGAATGAAACGATGATTTAATTAATTAATTTAAAAGTGAAGGTACTCGAAGATTAAATTACTGTAATGTGAAATAAAATCGAATTAAGAGGACAGTCAAGATTCCAATAAGAAAATGACTTCAGCAAATTGATTTATCAAATTGAATTCCTCCACTAAAATTATTCTGAAGTCAAAAAATAATTTAATGAAATAATAACAATAAGTCAGAATTATGATTGTAGCAATAAGAATGGAGAAGAGGAACAATCGATGAAAAATTACTGAAGTGAATTAAAATTCTCAAGAAATGACTTATAAAAACTTTATTTAAAATGTTTAAAACGATTATGTGAAGATGTGAAAATTTCACAAATCTCACTTCCATTTCATTTCAAAAATCAATTTATCAAATTCTCATTAATTAAGTAACTACCTAGTATAATTCATCTATTTTTCTTTCGTTTATTTATTTATTGATTTATTTACCATTCTTCAGTTCTTGTTCGTTTTATTTTTCTCTAACAACTTCGTCAGTAATTTACCCTCTTCTTTTCCCTATTTTTAACTATTATTACTATTTTCATAATAATAATAATAAATCGCACGAAAATTAAACTGAACGAAATTCAAAGCATAAAACATAGGTGTATCTACGAATGAATATTCAAACGCACGTTGATTATTCGCATATGGATACACGTACATATCAATAAAGAAATATAACAAATTTGCATGGAGGAATGGTTGCATAAATCGCAATTTTCAATGATTTGTTCTTCTTAAAAACGCAATCAATGATTTAGCAGATTGTCAATCAAAGATACATACACCATCATAAACAAAAAAAACAAACGCAAACACACATTTAAACTCAATTTTACAATCTTTGCATGATAAATTGTTTTGTTTGAAAAATACATAGTACAAATATATAACATAAACCATATATTATTTGCCGATAAGATGTGTATGAATATCAGATGTACACGCCAATCGCATCCAAAAATAAGCTGATATAAGGCCATGCGAATGAAATTATTGGCATCGTTTAGCAAACAGTGTGTACTCAAATTGGTGTGGTGCAATCCTCAGTGAAAACGTTCCCTCAACATCGAGTGATAATATTTTAATGAATCCGTTCGAAATTGTCGCAGAATTACAAGTAAACGTCAGACAAACTAAATAAGTTATTTTTCCATCATACTGATGATTTCCAGTCACTTCATATATGTATTATATGCATACCATCGGCTAGAGCACTCACGCGGTATATAAGAAGTAAAGAAGNGGAGAGGGGGGGGGAGGGGAGAGCGGGCTCAAATCACCTTTGCGAAGGCCTAAAATAAAAGTGTGGACAACTCATAAGTTTGAAGTGGATTGAACTCGGCTTAGGCTTAGCCATAGGCTAATATCCGAGTTCAGGCTAATGCTTGGCTCCAGTGTCACGCTCACATTTACGCTACTCAAGCACCGGACATATTCCAAATCAACAATATCCAAAACTGGTTTTCGACACTCTCCAAATGA